TTAGTCTCGGTGACAGTGCTACCCCAGATATCTTTTTGTTCATCGGCACACAAACTCCTATCAACATCAGCAAAAGCCATCACTTGTGATCCTATCGACGCAGTCACAGATAAAGTAACTTCTGAGATTTTCGCAACATTTGCACCTTCATCTTCCTTCTCTTCCACATGTTGCGCTAATTTTTCCTCTTTCTCAAGTTCGAACATACCTACAAGTTTTTGAGTAATCTGTGATATTTTAGGAATGATGCTTAATGCATAACATTAAGGTATAACATAGTGAAAAGGAGAGAGGTGAGCAAACGACATCAAAAACAAACTTTTCATTTTTAACTCATGTCTAGTGACTACGAATATGTATTCAAACTTATTCCATCACAAATAAAATTAGAGATAATTCGTTCATTTTAAAATCATGTAAGAAAATAAAATCTATACCAATATGTGATCGTTGTACATATTCTTCAGGTTTTTTCTTGAGAAGACTTTTTCCAGGTTTCGGCATAGGTTTTACATATCCAATCCTTGCTAGCACTGCTTCAGCTGCAGCTCGCTTTGCAAGTTTTTTGTTGGGTCCGACACCTTCGCAGCGAAGGCCATCATCACAGATTACCTGTAACAGACATTGAGCCTGAATATGGAAATGTAATTATTTTAGAACTGAAATAGGTGGTACCCAAAGCAAACCTCCATCACAAATTCTTTATAACGACTCTGTCCGCGCTCAGCAACAAGCTGGAATTTCGGTTCATTTTGCTTTCGGGCTTGCATAACTTGCATCAAACGACTGATCGGATTAATTTGATGACCATATTCTGGATTCATTTTCATATCCTAAAATTTTGGACGGTACACAACAAAAATAGCCTACGATTATTAAACTCGTAAAAAACTACAATGTGTGAGAAACTAGAAACTGCAAAAGAATATTAACATTCAAATAGAGAATTTGGGGAAATGGACATCCACTTAAAAACTAATCAATGATATGTGACACTTAGTTTTAACTTTTGCATAATACTATTAAAAGGAAATTAGACATTTTTCACAATAAAATAAGCATTGACAATTTAAGGCATTACTGCAATGAAAACTACCAAATACCTTACTAATCGTTTTCCGTTTAAGTTCCTTTGATGCCCCAAATTTCTTCTGTGATTTCAACATTGCAGCCGCGATGAAAATTGGTGAAGATTCTAGGAAAAGAAATAAGCCAATATCCAAAAAGATTAATGAATCATCGGATGGATAACGACAATTTTCTATCACATAAGTATTATAAGTCTTGACTAACCAATAGATTGTAATTTTGTTAGCATCAACGAACAAGCATTCTGCTTCGCAATTTTCTTACTACTTCCTTCACCATCTGCGGAGATAACCCGTTCTGCAGAGATAAGCTTACAGCGTAATAGATAGTGTCTATCGTGAGCCGGTCCTTCTTCTTTCAAAATCTATAAAAATTTGAGAACAGTAGGAAGATAGTGGAATTTCGACAAACAATATAGCATAGTAAAGAAAGAAAAATTACAAGAAAAAGAATTATCAACAAGTCACTTTTCAATAACAAGCCAATCAACTCCAAAGACACGAAAAGCAATTTAATTGTGAATTAAAATAAAATATTTTAAAATTTATTACCAAAAATTCGACATTCATACGCATATGCAGAGCACATTCGTGTATTTGAGAGATAGAAGATTTTGATTTCCCATTCCGTGCTGTTGTAATAACTGACTTTAAATTATCTTTTCTGATATCTTCGATTTCAATTGTCGTTAATTCTGCAGATGTAAAAAAATATAAAGCTATTCATCTAATTCGATTTACATTTTTTTCAATTTATAATTGGATAAAATAAAGGAATGTAAAGGCAAAGTACACAAATTTTTGTCCATGAAATTGCTTACAAAAAAAGAGAAGGAGATAGTGTAAAAATACCACATTGGTCAGTGGTTATTTCAAAATGATGTTTACTGATTATTAGAATTATTTTGAACTGACCGTTGTATCAACAACATTAAGCATCTTTTAGCATTTCGCTGAATCCTATATTTGTCAATTAAGACTATGGTTCGACAAAATTCAGAGGAAAATTTTGGCTGGATTAACAAATTTCATAGAAATGTTGGACTGCTTTATAAAAAGTTTTAATAGTGCCACCAGCTTTAAAACTCAGTAACTTATCACATCCCGAAAGAGAACATAACTGAATATAAGTTCCGCTAGCAATCACATGAATAACTGTTACCGTTCTTTGATTCATTCATTATCTTGCTTTTTGATTGCGCTTCCAACGTAGCCAAATAAGGTCCCAGATAAGAAAGAGCCTGAAAGTGCAGCGGGTATTTATGCCCAATTTTATACAGCATGAAATATTCCAAGAACATTCAAGCAGAAGCATAAAAAGTTATGCGCAACTAAGAAAGCATAGTTTAAAATACATTGAAATAAAAAACTAATTTAAACATTCAAATGTTGTATAAAAAAATTCAAATATATATAACAATTTCACCTCATTAGCAGCGCTATTCTTGGCCCTTTTCTTCGTCATTCCCTTTCCAATAAACTCGGGGAATTCCTTACTTAATATTAAACGAACCTAAAATTCAATTAAGAAATTTGAACTCCGATATAAATTCCAAACTATTTATTGAATATATCCTGTATTTCCGTTCAAACAATTTAATTTTTAAATAATGATCATAAATATTTCTTTCATAATCTAACACCTAATATCCATAATCGGACTTTCAACACAAATAAAATGACAGGCTCAGCAGTTGACTTTTGTTATAGACTAGAAATCCAAAAAAAGCAGAAAAATAAATTATTCAAAATTTACTTTATGAAGTTGTGAATGTGATCGATAATGTTGAAAAAATGAGAATTGCGGGGGTATCACTGCAGTCGGTGGTTGCATAATAACTGGTGCTGGCTGCAGTGCTGCAGGAACACGTGGTTGTCCAAATACTATTGTAGGCGGCGGAAGAACCAAGAACTGCTCGTTAATCACTGGGATGAAAGGAGGCCTTATTAGTGGTCTGCAACTAGTTTTGAAGATATAACTACTAAGAATATACAAAAGAGAAATATGTTATTTCTATAACGGCGGTCTGCATATAAAAACTATGCAGCTAGTCAAATTTGAGAAACCACAGTTTAGATTTATAATTACCTGAAGCAAAAAATCCAGAAGCTACAACTAACTGAAGTAAAAAATCCAGAAGCTATAAAAGCATCATAATAAAACAACTGGATAACTAACTGCATTGGCAAACGGGTTATAGGGTGTGGTGGCGTTGAGCATATCGGCACTACTTCGTCAATAAATTTAATCTCAACTCCAAGCCGTCCTGCGACATATCTGAGTAAGACTATTGGATTTTGAAGATCTGAAACAAAAGTAATTTTTACAGTTGCTACAATTCGAACACTGTTCATTCTAATTCATTTTAAAGCATTAAAGTAATCCAAAAATACAGGTTCTTACGTCTGGATTTTTTATACAATGATAGAGAAATACTTTCTGATAAGAAGCTTGCTTATTCAATAATTTGTCTGCTATAAATTTTTTTTTCCTTGTACAACAAAAGCAATAACTGGATTACATTTTATTCAGTTTATGATTATTTTAATCGATATAACGCAAAATAGTCCCTAACACCCATCCAACATACAACCTAACATTCTAGTAAGTGCTTATCTTACCACTTTTGCCTTTTTTTGAAGGGATCTTATCGGGTGGCTTAGGCAAAATGGTTCCATTCAAGGCAGTTTCAGCGGCTGATTGCTGAGCTTTCTTGATAGATGCTCCTTTGCCGTAAAATACCTGCAGCATTTCTACAATAATACAGGAAAACAAGGAATGCCATAAATAAATATTTTATAGCAGAGTTAAATTACATAAAGGAACAGAATACTTGCCTGGTCTGGAGTAAGTACAAGTGAAACGGTGAACTGTTTTTTGTGAGCTGGCCCACTTTCGTCCATGAGTTTATACTCATGCCTGATCTGAATTAGTTTCTAATACCAATGATTATATTTCTCATTAAATACTATTTAAAAAACAGATGGGCTCAGTTAATGAGTGAGAGTAGACACGTATGTGGAAAATGTGAGTGTCATGCGACAATTTAATTAATGTATCGTTTAATCTTGAAATTTATTTAATAATCCCAGAAGAAGCTAACTTTATTATAGCGAGCGAGCTCTGCAATACGACACATTGGAGTTTTTTGATGATTTTCATCAAGTTGTGAATAGTTATAAACATATTTTGTGGAAGATACTTCTTGATCTAAAAGTGAAAGCTTTATGAGTATGACAGCTCTGAGAAAATAGATAAAACAAAAGTGTCCTTCAGCACAAGTGCCTAATTAGAATCAGCAATTACAATTAATTCAAGCTGAGGATTTTTTATTTTCAAATAAGTAAAGGCGATATCTGCTTAAAACATTCATCTCTCTTCCAATTTGCACACCATCTAAAATGATGTCTCACAAGATCCAATCAATCATGTTTATGAATAATATAACAACCATACATAAGGAACATAAAAACCTGTGAAGTGCTGTCCCCACCACATCTCTGGATGAAGCACTGAATCATCACTGGCAGTGCCATTTGTTATACGCTGCACACCTGCTCCCTTCATGCAACTGTTGATCTGTGATGAGGATTGCGTTCACACAACCTAAGCAAATAAAATTGAAATCATATAGATGATGTGGATACTGTCCACATCATCTACTTCCACATCATCTATTTCTATACGAAAAGTTAGCTATCTGCTGAGAACATTTCAGATTCAGAAAACAATGTTGATGATTCTTTGTGATTAATAAAGTATTTTTCTAATCTAAATTTTAATTTATGTGAATAAAATAAGACCAGTACCACAAACTGAGAAAATATTTTTAAGGATCGATCACTAAAACAAAATACAAAAACTATTCTAAAAATAAGAATATTAAAAGTGTGGTGAAGCACCATGTCTTACAGTTCCGCTTAAAAAAATCTAAAGATGACCATACAGAAAAAAAATGATAGTGATTAAAAACTGATGGAAGGAGTGTTACCTGACGCCAACGAAACTAATATCATTTTATACCTTCTCTTTTATATATAGTTCCTTTCCTCACCTTTACGAAGGTAATGTTTCCTTAATTATACCAAACTTATTAGATGATTCTGCTTATGTACCCATAGATCCCAAAAGTTAATTTAAACTACTTGGATATACTTCCAGTACATATTACACGTGCCTAGTTCTAACATCCACAGACAGACTGCTAATGAAATTTATTTTCCAATCTTCTATAAATATGAAGTCCGAAAATATATAGCAACTCAGAATCTCCGTCCGAAACCTTAACCATTTTTAGACACATCTTATATAACGCATTTACTCGGACTTGCATATGCTTAAATTACGGTACTACCTGTCGTGGAGAAACAAAATGCGCCTCACTCTATGTGTCTCATAAATCATAGCAAGCAGCATCGTGAATAAATTTTGCGATAACATAACCAGGTTTTTTTCAAAATTGGGTTTAACAATAAGATTGCTCCTTTATTATCGTTATGTATTCTGAAGGTGCAATGACACTTCCGTAGACGAGGACAATTGGAATGAGATTTATTTTATTGGACATGAATGCAAAGAGATCACACACATGGTACAAATGACAAAGCATGCATTTAAGGAAAGGCAACACAATAATAACTGTAACAGTTTGTTTCAAAATAACTAAAAAATTTATGTTTGTAAATGAAAACAAGCAAATGACAAATTATTTATAAAAACAAATCAATAAAAACTTTCGACCACCTGCTTTATTCAGTGCTCGCTTAAATAACGTCTTCCAGCTTCCGATGTACGAACACTGAAAAAATCAATAATTTATCAATAAGTCAAGAACGAGAAAAATGCAAGAATATTTTAAAAATAATTTGGAATTTGCGACAATTATACTAATATTTTAAGTGACATTGCATCTTTTCCCACTCCCCGCAAAACTCATTCTCTAATATCTGAACAGCATCGAACTGAAACTGAAAATGTATTGTGTGTTTTTTACCAGCTTTTCAAACTATCATTCAGACATACTCTCAGGCTTACGCGCATAGATTTAAGTTTTGACGAGTTTTAATATGCTACATTTATCAAAGGATTAAAGTTTGCACAATCAGCTGATTTCGAAGATCGGATCAAAAATAAATAAAATTGCTAACTACGCTACATCGTATTATCCTCTTTGAAATACATCAAAAAAAGAAACGAAAATTTTGTTAACCACTGTTGTAGCAAATACTGCGCTGCCTGAATCTGCTCTCGGGTCCCAGAAATTGTTATAATACGGTCACCACCATTGTCACGATGAGGTTCAACTTCAATCTGCGCACCCGATTCTTCACGCACTCGATTAATTCGTGAACCACCTTTACCTATTATGGCGCCTCCTAGTTCATCCGGAATTGTAACCTAAACATTACATAATAAAGAATATGGATATATATCAAATCTGTGTGAAGACTTGAAAACTAAATCTCTTAAACATCTTTTTGAAATCTACCAGCAAACAGTCATATGTATAACAAATGATAATTATTGCTTTTATATAAAAAATATTAACAAATGCATTTGTGTGCTACAATAGAATAGATCGTCTATCTATAATCTCCACACTAAGGAACATTACTCCAACAGCCAAATGCAGGGGAAAAGATGAAAATCCAATTTAGCAAAACCAGATGACTGCTGTTGACTATAAACATAAACAACGAACAAGAGTTATAAAGTTTGTAAAAATTAACAAAACTGGAAAAAATTATTTAAGCATATCATATTTCCGAGAAATAAATCTTAAGAAATTATGTTACGTCAGTTGTTTCCACCTGTGTGGTCTGCATAGCTGGAATAGGTGAATAGCGTCCCATCACGTCCCTCACCCCACTGTAACGTTCATCTCTTGCAGGATATCGTGAGGGAACCATGCTACTACCAAACCCATAGTCTCTTCCTCGACCCACACGTGAGATGAAATTTCGATCAGGAACATATCCACCATAATCATTAATGATATCTGGATCATAATACATTGGATCATACGGTCGAACAGGTCCCTTTATTGGAATCTAAAAGTTACAAATACATCATTTATCATAGGAATATTATGATGCCCGTGGTGGTGGTTGAAATCTAGTTAGTATTTTAATATATTACCTCTTTCAACACATCGATAATGATGTTAATACAGTCAATAATTTTTTCCACTTCACCATTCAGCAGCACGATTCTTTCAGTGGACTGTGGTGCACAACGCGAAAAAACCTGTTAACATTTTATGGTAAGACAATATAAAGTTTAAATCCGCCCTTTCAATTTCTCACACATTCAAAAATCTTGCCCTTTTTCCACTACAACCATGTTTTCTATTAGATATTGCAGAAATATTAAGGTGCATCAGTGACCAACTATGGAAAACAAACAGGAATGAAATATATGCAGTGTGCCTGGAAAAAATTTTCAAAATGAGATAAATGAATGGAAAACTGTGGAAGTAGGTGATCTGTTATTCCTAATATATACAATAGACAAAAAGTTCCGAGTTTATAAACGTAAAGTTTGATGCGACACTGCAAAAACGAAAATGTTTGTATGGAAAAATGCAAGTCGCCTTCGTAACAAGTTTCATATCTGTCAGTGGATCAACATGAGTGAGTTCGAGTTACGCATGCGTCATAAAATTGAAAACGAGTAATAGGACCTTAAGTTGTGCTCCAGTTTTTTCGCGAAGCTCCTTTATTCGTGATCCACCACGACCAATAACAGCGCCTGCATGAGATTCATGCACCAAAACTTTCATTTCACTATCCGATCTGTCTGCTTTCTTCCCTCGTCGATCATGATCATCCTCGCGATTCTGAAAAACTTTTCCATCATTATTTCTGCTTTGCTATTAGAAGACAATCGAAGCTATCTCAGATTTTCAAATCAGCTACAATATATTAAAAAAGCAATACATCTCACAACTCAAACATTTTTCAGTCCCCAATTTAAAACCGTCAGCAACACACTGTTGAAACTTACCTCATCGAGACGTGGTATGATTTCACGTAAGCAATTTGCGATGTTTTCTGTTGTAGCAGTGAGAGTCAATACCCTAAACAGCATTTGGAATACAATTCTAATAATAAAAAAATATAGAAAAATTGCAGGAAACGTTCTGTCTTATAACTGGATAGAAAAATCATGCAATTTTCATAGGTTTGGTTTGAAAAATATAAAAATATTCAAAGTTATTGCCCAACAATAAAATTACAATCTGAAGCCAACGGCTGCAAGAAAAGGTAGTGTGCTGTTTGGAACAAATTTGTAATCAAAATCCTTCGTTTCATCTTGCCGTACTGCAAGAAAGCTTCAAATCGAAAAACAATGTGCTCTAGTTCAACCGAAAATTTCAAGTTATTGAAAATTTTGAAAAAAAAGGCCTTCTCTGCTAAAAAATTTGGGAAACATGCCCCTCCTGCTCTTTGTTGCCTCAATTAATATGACACTCCACCAGTGTTATGTTCATGCGAAATTTCTATTAACTGATTTTAAAGAAAACTTAAAATCAGTTAATATGAAATTTCATTTCAAAAATCGAAAGTGACATCAAAAACTGTTTTTCAAAATTTGGAAAACATGATTCTCCCATCCTTCGTTGCCTCAATTGAATAAAATGCATTCAAAAGCTATCGAAAACCTCTTATGTAAAATAGTCAATCACATTTCTAAACAGTTAAGCAGGTGAAGGCAGGCAGGCATGTAACCTATTTTGTAGCAGTAGGTTTGTGAAAGAAATGTGGAAGGTAATTCAAGGTCAGCCTGTTAGAGCTGTAGGTTTATCCATCGTGTGGAAGCCCGGTGGCAATAACGGTCGTGGTAATCAGTAGTGAGGGCAACAAGTATTTCCAGGATAAATTACCGTTCGGGCGTCTGGCTATCTGGGACGGTCAGGTTCGCGTCGAACTGCAAATGAGCATTAGTTTGGGCTGTGTTCACAATTTCGTAATTCATGTTGCTCAGTCCGCCAAACAATAAAATGTTTAAGGCCGTTGCATATAAAAGTGACTTAACAGCTTCTTGAACTTTTCTGAAGTTTATCGAACCAAGGACTTTGCATTTACAAGCAAATCTTCTTGGTCGTCAAGGGAAAAGAACGATAAGACCCTGGAAAAGCTCTGATCGAAAACGCATTTGCTTAACAAGTTAAAGCCAACTGCAAACCACAGAACCTTTAATGAAGTATGGATTACTTAAAAAGATCCGTTTCCTGGAACCAAGAATTTTATTCTCACGGACAATTTTTTCACTCATAAGGAATAATAAATCAAAAGCACACCTCTCACCATCTAAAAAATGTGCAATTCGTTACTGTTAGACAATACAAAGTCAGTTTAAAAATGATGCGCTGATATTATGTTAGGCAAATGAGTTTCGGTCAGCGCTATCAATAATATAAATTACAGAACGTCGAAAAGGAGAACTATAAATTAGACAAAGTTACCCAAATGCAGTACCTCTGAACGAAGGCGCTTAATATTTTCGCCTCCTCGGCCTATAATACCACCAGCACCTCGACTCGTCACTACCAACCGTAGTTCATACTTGCCATTTGCCAGAGCTTCTTCGTAACTATCCATTCGTGTCCTCTTACTTCCACTTCCAAACCGATCCCCTCCGGAACGTTTCATCCTTTTCTTTAAACCGCAAACAATTCTGAAATATAATCTACGATGCACCTTTCCAAACAAGTCAGCAGTGTTTTATTTCTAATTAGCAAAATAAAATGATAATTAATTAGATAAAACTATCAAAGACCACAATAATTAATTCACTTATCACTGTCGTTATTATTCATTAATCATGGCGCATCTTTTGTCATTCCGCTCACTCTATTTTACCTACTTTCTTCTCATCGTATTCCATTAAATCAAACCACAACAAAAGAGAAAAACCATAGCTTACGTGCACTTATGCGGACTACATTTTAAAATGTCACGTATACAACAAATGTCTTTACATTCAACAGTAAAACAACGTACCAGAGGATAAGAAGAAAGAGTGTAAGGAGAAGGAAATGTTTTCATATAACTATTACAGGAACGATTAAGCATCTGTTCCACTACGAAGCTAATCTAAATCGCATGTTCACTTCTTTGACCGTTATTCTATTCTATACGGATGTCAGAGAAGAGAAACAAATGACGGAAAATTATTCTACATTAGGAGTATATTCCACTTAACCCTCTCCATGTGATATCTTTCATTACACACTCTCCACCGATCCCCATTCAATCACACAAATTCGGAACATGGAAAAGTACAGGTGTGCCGGATAAATTGTTAGCACACCTAGCCGTAGTCTCTCTGCGATACTGCTCAATCAATGTTCACAATCCCATAGTGCAATTTCCATTTCCCGATGTTTTAACAGCTTTGTGTTGATGAGAGGGGAGGGAGGAGTTAATTGATGTGATGGTGAACATTGATAGAAAGTTACAGGGTAGAGATCAGCTTGAAGGTCTTTTTTTTTTCAGATTTTATGAAATTTGCGTCATTTAAACTCTCATTTTTCGTCAGTTCTGAATTTTCATTAAAATTTTAACGAATCTTCTATAGTTTCATCCAGAAATGCCAAAAGCAGTATATTTGATTCGAGATAATTTCATTAGAAATTTATTCATGAATAATTTCAAGCAACATTTATTCTATTCCTTATTCCACCTGGAATGAGATCTTCTTCATTTCGTGATCGTTGTTAATGCAATGGAAATTCCTTTCCAATAATTCTAATACATTCTTTGGAGAATTTAGGCTATTCAAAGTTAATGCTATTAATGTATAAATAGCTGAGATCGATTTCGCCAATCGATCTGCTCCGATTTTTATGGAAGAAAAGAAATTGTTCATATTTAAGCGGAAAATTAGTTAGTGGGAAGATCAAAAAAACAAAAGCAAAAAAAAATTTTGTAACTGACGAATGAAAGAACAGTTTTATAGAATGTTGTCTAACATCTTTTTTTTTTTTCGAATATTCTGGTAATGACAAAATCAAAATTGCTAATGCTGTATGCTATACGCGATCTCTACAAATCCTCGGACCAGAAAATCAATAATGTTTGTAATGGTTTTGTAAAATATGAGTATGAAATTGGTTGAGTATATAATTTGACAAGCATTATTTTGCCATTTCCCTTCATTCTTTTTACAGAGGATCTCAGAAAGACGATATGGTTTATAATTTATCACGAAACAGTTTATACAACATTGTTAACATGCGAAATAATAGTTTATTGTAATAGATCTAAGATATTCAGGAAACGATCTTATGGAACAGGTACGTTTATGAATGTGACACAAAACGGTATCGAACTTTACCAATAGCTTTTGTAAAGCGATATTTCATGATCATTCATTCTATCTCATATAATTACATTATTGTAAATATCGTTTGGCTGCATTGGTAATTAATTTCATTTCTTCCAGAAAAGAAAATTTTTAAAGATGATAATCTTAACATTTTTTAGTATCTTCCATAGGAGATGACCTTATAAAAATTTACAAAAAATGTAAACAAAATCAATACTAATTAATATTCTAATCAATACTTATAGGTTCTGTAAAAGCAATTACTTTTCTGGTCTATTCGTATCCTTACATTATCCTTATTCGGACAAACATTAAATCAATAAGGCATATCTGTTCATAAGGATCATTTTAAGGAATCATTCTTGAAAAGGCTTTTCAAATTTATACGGTGCGACATAGCGATGCATATAACCTATTTGCTACTAATCATAAAGCTTGAAAAGATCAAAAAGAACAAAAGAGATTTATACAATCAAGCAGTGTGCATGAAAATAAAAATTTACATGTATTTACGCAGCGTAAAATAATTTTCAGATTTCACAAAACTGAAAGTTACTTATAACTTATCATAATGTATTAAACAAAGATTAACTTTAATGAGATCAATAATTACACCTCGAGCAATTCCAACATTTAAGGCATCAAATTGCGTCATGCAAAAAAGTTCTACTAATGGTTGTTGAATTTTTCCTTGTAGAAAATATGGTCTTGGATTTGAATATGGATAATAAATAAGCAATTTTGCTGTCATACTGCTCGCTATAAAAAAAATGAAAAGTAGAATAAAGTTATAAACAAGCAGAAACAGTAGACATACTCTTTTTATTTTTTCCAAAAATTCAATTCATAAATATTGCAAGAATAGATTAATTTTATTAAATATGCAAAAATAATGACATAAAGTAAAAACGAATTAAATCAATTTGTCATCAAATATATTCAAAGATCAGAGATCAAACCTGCTTACTTTAACTCCATAAATTCCAATATTTTCTTAGAAGATAGAGTTCTTTGCGAAATAATTTACCTGCAAACTTAAGCACATCAACCGTTTCTATCAGTTCTTTTCAAAACTGTTTCGAATTCTGAAATAATATGCGCACGAATCATTGCTTCAAGCAGAAACTTGTCAGCATGGCAGTTGAGGAGGATCAACTGATAATCAGTTATTATCGTTGACCTTTTTCCATACCTGTTTATATAAATATTTTCTATCATCGCACGCAACGTCACCATTGGTCAGTTAGTCAGTGCTCGATCAAAGCAATAACTGCGAGAACTTAGAATAAAAGCCATAAATAATACCGAGATGGAAATGAATAGTAACCTTTGAAGAGGAATAATTTCGTAAACCTTTCTCGAGACTGCAATTTTATTATTTCTTAATTCATTCCCATCCAAAAGATGCGTTTGCTAATTGACTGAAGTTTTGTTGAACTTCAAGATACCTGATTTAAAATACGTTATTGTTGAATAACTTGACAACTTTTCCCTGCATATCTTACTGATGCTTATTTGATTGCTTTGAATTTCTCGATATAATTTCTTCCATCTTTTCCATCACATTGCTCGAGAATAAATCTTTTTTACTGGAATTCTCCGATTTCAACTGTTAAATTTTTAGTAACTTCTAAAAAATACAATGCTTCTCGAGTAACTGGATACTTTCGCTTGTTTGATTTCAAATATGAAAATATTTCTCCTTACTTTTATATCTGATAAAGAATGCTGATGAATGAAAAAAAAAACTTTAATTAATCAATTTATAGTCGAGCAAATGTTTTTCGAGCATTTCAGATTTGAAGCAATTATAATTTTGGAAAAATTATAAATTTTCATTCAGAACAGTATTAAAAACTTTCAATTACATACATATGCCCTTTTGGAATTTTTTAGTATTAAATAAAATGGAATGATTTGAACGGAAAGTAACGGTCGATTAAATTCTTCAATGCATGAACTGATTTTTTCGTCCAATATTCACTGCGTTACCTGCATGACAGCTTACTTGATGAGCCATTGCAGCTGCATGGAATGCAAATATACCCATTTGCTGAACATCAAAATTTCCTAAATGATTCAACCGTAACTGTCACATTCACTAAACATTCTCACTATAATGACAATACAAATCACAGGCATTAACTTATTCAATAAATTACCATCCACTACTCCAATATTAAAATCTCAATTTTTTAATCATCAATTGTTTCATTCTTAAAACAATTCAATTGTGGATAAATTTTTGAAATTTAGAAATTCCTGAAAAATTAAATGTATGTTTTTCGGAGAATTAACTGATTATATTTAGGAATAATGTGTACGCTTAGTTCACCCTTTTTTTTGCACATTTCTGTCAAGGTAACATGTTGTGAGCGATATTTGTTGATGATATTTTTTTTAATGCAAAACTCAGATTATCGATCACATCGTTGATTTTTGCATTGCTATTTGAAATGCCAAATAAATTTAAATTTAAATCCTTTAAGTTTCTATTTTTTTACTATTTTTCCAATTGCTACTCGATTAACAATGCTTTTACCATTATTTCGAGCTATTCTCAATGGATGATACTCACCTGGAAAACGACACATCCAAGGTATAAAAGAAATGTTTTCCACCCATATACGCCGCTTATTTTTCTATTGATTGTAAATTTTTCTGTTTTGTTTTACTTTTCAAAGAGAGAAGTAAAATTTGCAGTCAAAAATGGTCCTTGAAAAAAGTTTTTATTATTTAAAAACTTACCATCTGCTGCAAAAATTATGACGAAAAAATTTTTCAACTTTTACATTATGAAAATTTATCAAGCTAAATCTGTAATAAAGTGAAGAGGTCGAGATGAGACTGTAGATTAAAAATTGTCATGGTGGAATGAATATATTAAAACTGAGAGAGAATAATTTTAAGTGGCGGATGTCGTAAATATCAGTCATTTAAAATTGATCGCAGTTCTAAGGCCTGCTAATTGAGTATTTGAACATCCTTCCTGCAAAGGCCTGTTAGTTAAATAATTGAATATCCTTCCTGCAACGATTTATCTTTACAATCGAATGATATTCAGCGGATATCAAGCTGAAATATTTCTGTTAAAAAAAAAACTGTCAGAAACTTTTGAATCAGCAATTTTATTCAATAAATTATGAGCGTCATTCTGCAAGGTTTGTTAAAAAAGTTTGAATTAGATGTAACTAAATATCATAATAAAATTTTTCATTTTATATTTGTTTTGAATTTAATTACAATAGTAAAAATAACAACTTCTAACAGTTATTAAAAATTACTAAAAATTTTATAATCATTTTACCAATTTATTTACGGT